TTTTCTTTTTTGAGACAGAGCCTCAAGCTATCCCCCTGGGTAGAGTGCCATGGCATCACAGCTCACAGCAACCTCCAACTCCTGGACTCAAGCGAGTCTCCTGCCTCAGCCTCTCAAGTAGCTGGGACCACAGGTGCCCTCCACAACGCCCGGCTATTTTATGGTTGCAGCCGTCATTGTTGTTTTGGCGGGCCCGGGCTGGATTCGAACTGGCCACCTTAGGTGTATGTGGCTGGCGCCTTAGCCACTTGCGCCACAGGCGCCGAGCCGATTCTATTTTTCAATTAAAGAACTTCCAGTGTCACTGATTTTGTAAATTAAAGGAAAACAAACAGAAAGTATTTTCATTGTCAGGATACACTAACCCAGGGTGACCCTTTAAGTGCTTTCCTAAACTTTCCAGAGGGTCAATAAATTCATTAAGCACAAAAGGACACACTAGCATATGTGTACTTTTTAAAAATAAGGCAAAAAGCCTGGGCATAGGGGCTTAGGCTTGTAATCCTAGTATTTTCGGAGACCAAGGCAGGGGAATTGCCGAGACCAGCATGAGCCAAGAGCAAGACCTCCATCTCTACAAAACATAGAAAAATAAGCCAGGTGTGGCTCATGCCTATAGAACCAGCTAGTCAGGAGGCTGAGGCAGGAGGATCACTTGAGCCCGGGAGTTTGAGGTTATAGTGAGCCATGATGATGTCACTGCACTCTAGTCCAGGTGACAAAGACCCTGTTTCAAACAAACAAACAAGGCAGCGAGTATATCACTCATTCTGTACCCATCACAAAACAATCTGCAGGGAGCAGTCCACCATGGACTGTGGTAGACCAAGTCCCTGAAAGGAGCACTGTGTCTACTCTGCACAGAAACGGGAACGGAGAGCACCTGCACTACCAATTCCAGACAAGAAAAGAAGGCAGGTGTTCATTTAGACCAGTGGTTCTCAACCTTCCTCATGCTGTGGCCTTTGCTGTGAACCGCTGATATAGACAAAAAGTCCTTGTCACCCTATTTCAGTAGAAAATAAAAGTGGTGAAGAGTGGTAGTATACATAAAAAATATGAACCAAATGTATACTGCAGCATTCTGTAAAACTTAGCCACATTTCTCAGGCTTTCTGAGGTGGGGCAGAAATACAGATTCCCCCTATAAATCAAGAGTCCCAGTGTAGGGAGCAGCTGGGGCGACCCCGCCCAGAGGCCCAGAGGTGGCCACCACTGGGCTCCTTAGGACTCCTCTGTAGAGTGCAGCAGACTGAGGTCATCGTCCCCCAGACGCTCTTGGATTGAGTCTAACCTCAACCCCAAACACAATGTGGGGGCTGAACACCCTATGAAGGCTTTTTAAATTTCATGAATTTCGTTCTAAAGATCTTCAATACACGGTGAGTTTCTAATGTTTCCCCTCCACCAAAACACACAAAAAGGGATTAAAAATTGTTGGCTCTCGATTTAGTGTGATTCATTCTTTAAATTCACACAGTATCCTTGTAAAGAAGACAAAGTGTTTTGAACATGAGTACTGTGCTCACACTGCTATGACAGGCAGTAAAAATCTCATATGAAGCAAATACTCTGCAGGAAAAGGCTCTCACTGCTCTGAGTAGTGCCTCCCTGAGGTAAATGCAGCCGCTGTCACACCTGCACAGTAAGCACCAAGGCATGACGTCACTCCTCCCACTTAAAGGTGTCCCGGGGAGAGAAGCTGCCCAGGCCTGCGTGATTACAAGTGGTGATCACAGCCTCCAACTACACCAGGAAGTGCTGTCCAGCTGGCACACTCAGTAGCACCACTGTCCGCTCACCTCACCATCTCTGTACCCTTAGGAAAACCAGAGCAGGAGAATCAGGGCAGCCACACAAAAAGCTCAGGGCTGCTTTCCGGACACACCCACTCTAATAGTGCAGCAAACACACCCCTGAGCCACTGATAATTCCTGTATCACTAACTCTGGCAAACAACCATTTGTTTGATGAAAAGTATTCACTGCACATTTATACTTAGAACTTAATTAAGCCAAAAGTTCCTTGTACTATTCAACTCCTTTAAACAAACTTCGAGACAGCAGCTTGTTAAGGTCACAAACACTAAGCACACCAGGAAGCAGGTAAGAAAAAACTGAAACAATCCTGCACTGGAATGAACATTCAATACAGCTGCAACCAGGACAGGAGCTTTGCTATGCTACAGTTAGAGACCCTGACTGAACCTGACTGAGTCTGGGCTGCCAAGAGTTGAGAAAATTATTAGCCCCTCCAGCTGAGCCCACGTCAGCCCTAAGGTCAGGACATTGAGGTTAAGGCGCTATTAAGTCATCATCTGGACACTCCATGCCATAAGCCAGCACCATACTTCTGAAGCAGGTCCAACTATGACATTCTCCAGCTTTACTTCCCACTAGTCCGGGACAGCCCCCCTCCAGAAATGTCCGTCTGGACTGCGTAGAAACTCAATCAATTCGCTTCAAAGCAGAAACTACAACATCCTTTTCGATAAAGCCTCTCCTTGCCTAAGGCATGAAATAACTGCAAGTACTCGCCGCCGTACTTAGAACGCCCGCGGGCGGCTGTAAGTCCACACCGCTGCGGCCCTCAGGGCGCGGAGCCCGGGGACAGGTAGCCGCCTCCAACCCACGCTTCCAGCTCGGGGTCTGAGCCCCGTCCACAGGGAGCGCTCTCTTGGGGTCGCAGTGAGACTAAAAGGGAGACCACAGGGTGCCTGGCCGCAGCCTTGGGGCCCTACACAGTCACGCGCGCAGAGTGGCCGCAGCAGCTGGACAAAGACAAAGGGTGGACACTTTTCTGCTGCCCGCTACACCCTTCCACCGCCCCGCGGCCCCGCCGGCCCCGGCGCCCTCACCCGCTGCGGGCGGCTCCTGCGTGGCGGCCGCCGGGATGAGCAGCAGGAGCAGCGCGGCGCTGCCGACGGGCAGCCCCCAGCACGGCGTCGGCCCGCGGGCCCCGCCAGGCGCCATGGTCGCTCCACAGATCAGTCAGTCAGGAATCCGCGAAGACTCCAACGCCAACCCAGCCCGTTTCTGCCCGGAAGAGCAGCGGCGCCGGAAGTGGGCTGGAGGGCGGGGCCAGGCGAGTGCGCAGCCGCAGGCTCTGGCTCGCTCCACCCCTCGTCACAGGCCCTCCTTCGGGCGTCTTTGCGGCTCATAGAGCCTGCGCAATGGGGCGGGCTTGGTAATAGCGATTGAGGCTTAGTGCTCCTACCCGGCAGGGCAACGAGTGTAAGCACTGCCCTGGGCCGAGCGTTTTGGGGGCAGAGCCTCACGGTGGCCTTGACCCTGAAGCGGAGCAGTGGTCCGGTGGTGTCCCCAGGCGCTGCTAATGCTACTCAGCAAAGGTCCCCTGGAAGAGGAGGAGGTGCCGCGCCGGGTCCGGGGCGCCCGCCTTCTGGGGCCAGAGCTCCAAGCGCTGGGCCGGGACCGCTTCCTTGAGGCCGCCCCCAAGCGTCCTCTAGGTGGTCGTAGAGGGTTTGGTTCTGAGTGCGCTTGAGAACGCTGAAATCGCTCTCAAAGTGGGCCTCGCCATGTGCTACGGAGCTGCCACCCTGGTTCCCGACAGGAGAGTGCTTCGCCCCTCCCTTGTCTCGCTCAGTAGACGCGGCCCCACAGTGATTCCACTGTTAGTGATCCCCCCTATGGTGACCCCTCACCGTGACACTCCCCAGTCACTGCCGCTGGGACCACTTCTCTTTGGGTTGGCCTTGCTCTTGGCCTGTCCACCCCCACCCCCACCCCCACCAAGGCTTAGGGCCCCTGGGTGTCAGACTCTGGTTCAGTATATTGAAGTTCAGTAGATAAATACTAAATACTGAATTATTTTTTTAGGCTACTTAAATGACAGAAATAACATACAGGTGTGAAAATAAACACAATTTAAAAGCTGTTGAACCCTCCCCCAAACATGTTAAGCCGTGAGGGAGAAGTGACTATGATCTGAGTCATGTGTTGTTAGGACTTCAGATTTTCAAATTATAGGTTGACTCACTTTCTTACAGTTTTTGTTCTGTACAGTGACTAGAGAGAATTAAATGACGTCAGGGACAGAAACCTCCAGCCTTCTTAGTTAATGATTCTTGTAGATTAACTTCCCTTTTGTTGTCCTGCTTTGCTTAGATCACATGGGATGGGAAAACCCATGACTATTACACCCTCAAGAACGCCAAACTTGGCTCGGCGCCTATAGCTCAACCGGCTAAGGCGCCAGCCACGTACACC